GGCCTATTTACTTGCGCGAAAAAAAACCACACGCCGGCGGGGCGCAAGCCCCAAAGGCACAAGCGTCGCAATGGGTTCCCTCTTAGAGGAGTTCCTGCGGGAGGAATGCCCCGAAAGATGGGCAAAATTCCTCAATTTCGCGAGGGAACGGCGCCTAGCCGTCGAATTTGCTAGCGACAGTCCGGCTTCACCGGCTGCCGTCTCGCCGCCATCTCCGGTGCCCTCCGCGCCAGTTATTGTGTCGCCCTCTGCGACAATTAATACGCCTGCGACAATTAATACGCCCGTCGCGTCGACCTGCGCCGCCGCGATCGATCTCAACGCGCCTTCCGCGCAATCCAATTCGGCCCCCTTCTGCGCTGTCGTTCCCGACTCACAATCGGACGGCGGCTCAGACATGGAGGTCGAAACGACCCCCGCTAATAACGCGAACGCCGACGGCTTCACCGTCGTCAAATCGCGGAAAAAGGGCAAGAAACGCCCCGCCACCGACAGCGACCCCGAAAGCGAGGCCGCCCCGTCAAACCGTCCCACCGCGACGCCCGCCAAAAAGGCAGCCGCGTCTGCCCAATCGGAACCGACTTTCGCCTCCGAGCGAAAAATTAAGCCACCGCCGCCAATAATAATACAAGACAAGGCAAAGTGGCACCAGGTTTGTTCGTGGTTTGAACGCCACAACATCCGAGACCCCCGGTCCAAGAATACGCATATGGGTATCCGCGTATACCTCGATTCTTCGGACGACTTCCGTCGCGTAACTAAATACTTGCGCGAAGCTAAGGTAGGTTTCCACACCTACTCACTACCCGAAGAGCGCAAACTTCGGGTCGTAATAAAGGGCGTCCCAAAAGAGTCGGATGTCGATATGGCTAAGGTCGACATCCGCACTCAGGGATACCCTGTCCACGCTGTGCGTCGTCTCAGGCACCCTCGCACCCGTGTCCCTATGGACATGGTCATGGTGGAACTTGACCCTACCCCGGAAGGTAAGGCCATTTTCAACCTGAAGAGGGTCTGTGGGCTCAGTGACTTAGTCATCGAGCCCCCACGCAAATCAGGTGTTGTGGCACAGTGCCATAACTGCCAACATTTTGGCCACACGGCCAATAACTGCTTCGCTCACCCAAGGTGCGTCAAATGCACCGGTGACCACGGCACAACCGAGTGCACGAGGCCGAAAGATTGCGCAGATCCACCGGACTGCGTAAACTGTAACGCCACCGGCCACCCGGCTAGCTACAGAGGCTGCGCTAAGGCACCGAAAACTCCCGCGAGGAAATCTCCCGCGAAATCGACGTTGCCCAAACCCGCGCCCGTTAAATTCATTCCCGCGCCCGTACCCGTCGTAAACGCCTGGGCGAAACCCCAGGTGGCCGCGCAGGTAACCGCGCCGGTAATCCCGGTCGCCTCACGACCGATCGCGCAACAGCTGCCCGCCTCTCAAACGGCGCCGCGGCCGCAGGTGCAGCCAATTCCGTCAGTTTTCGCGGAAAACAAAGACGACCCATTCGCGCAAATAGCGAACATTTGCAGTTTATTAGATAGAATAAACAGACAGGAACTCGCCGTATTGTCCGCTAAAATAGCGGCCGCCACATCTGGCCACGAGCGTCTTAGGGCAATTAGCCAACACAAAACGCTTGTGGAAACCCTTTGGGCTTTTACGAGCCAACCATAAAAGAACAATAGTCCGCGCAATAAAACCGCGCTCCGCCGCGTCGTTAATTAGACCCATAAAGGCACCTTAATGGGAAGTACAACCGCAGGTAGAACAAAACCTCGGGCTCTGGTTGTTTCGTATTTCAACGCAAACGGCATAAAGGGTCAAAGGGATGAAATCGCGGAATTCCTTCGCGATAATAATGTAGATATTTTCCTAGTGCAAGAGACATTCTTGAAACCTAGCGTACGCGATCCCAGAATCGCAAATTACAATATTGTCCGCCACGATCGGTTAGCAAACCATATGGGAGGCACACTAATTTATTATAAACGGTCCTTGCACTGTTGCCCGCTCGACATTCCAGAGCTAAATCAAATAGAGGCATCCGCGTGTAGGTTAGCGCTCACCGGCCACAGGCCGCTTGTACTAGTCTCAGCCTACCTCTCGGGGAATAGAACCCTCCTTCAAAGCGACCTAGATACGCTTCTAAACTTAGGCCCTTCCGTGATAATTGCAGGAGATCTAAACTGCAAACACGGCTCATGGGACATTAACAGCATCCCAAACAACAACGGAAAGCATCTCTTTAGCTTATCCGATAACCTAAATTTCAGTATAGTCGCTCCCGCGACTCCCACTAGGTATCCTACGGTGGACAACTACCAGCACGCGTCACCGAGTGTCCTAGACATAATGTTATTCAGGGAGGTCTCGCTCGACATCGAGTCGATAGAGACAATCCATGAACTAGACTCAGACCACAGGCCCGTCCTGTGTAAACTGGGCCAGAACGCCGGCGCGGTCCCTCCGACCAAATTCGTAGTGGACTGGCATCGTCTTGAGGTCAAACTCAAGGCCTTGGACCCCCAGAACTTAGTAAACTTACCCGAGACGATAGCTACGTTCGATGACGCAAATCGAGCGATAGCGAGTCTCCGTGAAACTATTACTTCCGCAGTCACAGACTCGGAACGGACGGTGAAACTGTCGGGCGACCGACGGTTTAACTTTCCGCCCGACCTACGACTGCTAATTAGACAAAAAAATGCAGCTAAACGGGCCTTCGACCGATACCGATCGGAATCGAACCGAACTCTACTTCGACGCCTTCAGCTAGAAGTCAAAGATCGTGTATCGGAACACCGACATACAACGTGGGACACTCTCCTAGAGGACATCGAGCCATCGCACACCGCCTACTGGCGGTTGGCCCGCAGTCTGAAAGCAGATCCCCGCGAATCTCTACCGCCGTTAGTTAGACCTAATAGCGCTTCAGTAGCCCTAGATGACTCCGAAAAAGCCGAATGCCTTGCGGACAACCTAGAGCAGCAATGTACGCCATCGCGCGAACACACCGATTCGGCCCACCTAACGGAGGTGGACCGCGTAATCGAGACTAGGGCTGCGCTTCCACCGGAAGGCGAACCTCTAAATTCAGTGACCCCCGAAGAGGTCCAAGATATAATTAAAAATTTAAAACCAAAATCCGCCCCGGGCCCAGATAATATAAGTAATAAGATTCTCAAAGCTCTCCCTGGGCCGCTTATCTGTTTACTGGCGACAATTTTCAATACGCTTCTCTCCAGTTGCTCCTTTCCGGACGACTGGAAGCAAGCCACGGTTATCGGCATTCGCAAGCCGAATAAACCAGCCAATAAGCCCTCTAGTCCCATCAGCCTCCTCAGTTGTCTGGGGAAGCTCTACGAGCGGCTATTGTTAAACAGGCTCAAAGAGCACGTATTTTCCAACGGCCTTCTGCCGACGGAACAATTCGGCTTTCGAGCTAGACACTCTTGTCCAGATCAGTTATACCGCCTAACGGAGCACATCCTAAAAGGCCTAAACCACCCGAAACATATCAGTACAGGGGCTCTTTTCTTCGATGTCGCAAAGGCATTCGACAAGGTCTGGCACAACGGCTTGCTTTACAAGCTGTACACACTCAAAGTGCCAGATAGGCTCGTACACACCATCCGGGCCTTTTTGTTGAACCGCTCTTTTCGATATCGAGTCGAGGGCACCCTCTCCACAAGCCGCCGCCTCACGGCCGGCGTACCACAAGGCTCCTGCCTCTCACCCTTGTTATTTACGCTCTACACGAGCGACATACCTAGATTGACGTGGGGGTCCACGTCAATCTCGCGCTTTTCGCGGATGACACTGCGCTCTTTTACTCAGATCGCAACCTCAGCCAATTAACGACTCGACTCCAGAGCGCCGCCGACCGCCTCGGCGATTGGTTCCGCAAATGGAGAATCGATATTAACCCAGAAAAAAGTGTGGCGATTCACTTCACCCGTAGCACCCCCGACCCCCATCCGCCACACCGTTACAAAGGTCCTCGCCAGTACAGAAAGTTGGGGCAAATATCACTATACGGCCAAACTCTCCCCTGGGAGAAAACGGTCAAATATCTAGGAGTCACTTTCGACTCGCGTATGACTTTCACTACGCACATCAATCAAGTCCGAAATAATGCCGCGTTCGTCTCCGGCCGGCTACACAATTTAACGAATAAGCATAGTAAAATGCCCTTAAGGCACAAATTACTATTATATAAAGCTTGCGTAAGGCCAATCATGTCCTACGCATGCATGATCTTCGAACACATAAATCCTACGCGCATTGACGAATTGCAAGTAGTTCAAAGTAAGTTTATCCGCCGCGCAACCGGTGCGCAATGGTATCAGCGCAACGTCGACCTGCACAGCGATTGCAGACTCCCGACGATTCGCGCACATTTTAAAGATTTGACAAAACGGTTCTTCGATAGAGCCCAGCATTATCCCAACCCTCTGGTGGTAAGCGCAGCAAACTACCTACCGGACACTAACGCGAACGTAAACAAGCGTCGCCCGCGAAACGTCCTCATCGACCCGGTCGACCTCGCCTCCGAGCACGGCGAGACCCACACAACGCGTACACAAGGTACACCCGCGTTCCGGGGCGGTTCTCACCGCTCCCAGCCACCGATTAGCTAAATGCACAGTCGACGGCCGTCGGGGTCTCGGTCCGAACCGGCGACCTCGACGGCCCTTAGATGACACACCATAGTAGTTAAACGCACGCATGAGCACATGCGCGACCCTACCCATAGCGGAGGGTCCAAACCCGTGGGTTCTGGCTAGCCCACCGGTTCTGCGTCCGATGAAGCTTTAATAGTCTCGGGACTGAAAGCAAAAACATCAGTTAAGGGCGCTTTTAGTGTCACGCGGATTTGCTCACGCACGCGGGATTGGACCGCATGCGTAGCATCCGCAAAGAACAATTTCATATAGGTATCTATTGTAAAGCGTGATAAACGCACGCGGGACGCGGGGCGCTGTGCGGGGCGTCACCCCGGTGCGGGGTATCCGCATGCGTAAGCGCTGCCTACAACTTCAGTGCCCATTTTAGAGTCGAGCGGGGCGCACGCGCCGTATTGTACTACCGAAATGAAAATCGATACAGAACGAGTAATCATTGAAGTTCATCTGCGGCCCGTTTTGTGGGATAAACGCAATGAATTATACAAAAACAGGGACGCGAGGGAGGCTGCATGGAGAGATATTTTGAAGGAATTGGCACCTAACTACGAAAATTTGAGCGAAGAGGAAAGAAAAGAGGCGGGTATGTGTTTGGTTCATTATTTTATTTATACAAGCATCATTACTTTATTAATATAAGCATAATTATTTAATTCACAAATAACATCAAAAACCTTCTAAAACCTTTTGAGTTTAGTTAATTAATTATATATCGGTGTTGCCAGGAGACTTTTCCTTCATTGATAAAGTAATCTGCAAATATATCTCTGATATTACTTGCCGACGTATTACTACTTTCAGTCTGCTGCCTGGGTAGTGGTCCCGTAAAACCATTTGTGACAAATGTATGGCTGACCTTGTAGCCATCCCGTTTCCTTATGAAATTGTGAAGTACACATGCCGTCTTGACTATTAATTGTGCTAGATCTAACTTGACATTCATGGATCTGTGAAATATTCTAAATTTATTTGACATAATTCCAAAAGTGCATTCTATGTACCTTCTAGCTCTGGACAGACGGTAATTAAATATTTTCTTTTTGTAAGGTAAATTATCACGAGCATAAGGCCGCATCACATGTGATGATAAACCAAATGCCTCGTCTCTCCCTATCACGAACGGCAACTTTGCTCTTACACTAGATGGATAAGCTACTTCGGGGCAAATAATAGGCAACTCTTGCGGGTCAGGGATACCCAACGTGTTACTTTCCAGTTTCGTATACAATTGACTCCTTCTAAAGATGGTTGAATCGGCGTTGCTTCCACTGGTACCGACATTAATATATGTAAAATTATAATCAGCATCACACATTGCGAGGAGCACTACAGAATAATATTTCTTATAATTAAAATATAGTGATCCACTGTGCGGCGGCCGAATCACTCTTATATGTTTTCCATCAATTGCACCCAAGCAATTAGGAAAATTTGTATATGTGAGAAATCCCTCTGCGATTTCTTTCCATTTGATCCCATTAAGCTGTGGAATACATTCAGACTTTAGTTCAATCCATATTATGTAACAAACTTGTCTTACTATTTCGCTAATTGTTGCAATTCCAATCACATAGGAATAGTGTAGATCAGTGAATGTATTACCAGTTGCCAAATATCTGAAAACAAAAAACAATATATTAATAATATGATAACATAATATATTAATAATGCTGACATCAGACATAAGACAGCATGCACCGCTCGAATTTTACTTCAGAAGAAAAATAAATACCCTTAAGGTGAAAGGGCACGGAAGTAGCTAGCGGTAGAAGTTTTTAATTCGTTTTAACTACAGTACTATAGCTACGTTAGATTTCTATGATTTGCCGAAAATTTTATCATAGGGGGGTATTTATGCAGTTATGATTTCATATGAAAAGTTCGAAGTATAGTTATGTATCTCATATCTGCTAAAAGTGGCCACTTTTAGCAGATTTGAGACACATAACTATGCTGTAAATATTTTATAAGAAATCTTCTCTGTATAAATTAACCCCTATGGTAAAATTTCCGGCAAATGAAAGGAATCTAATAAATATATATAATATAATATAATGAAATATCGTTTATTTCAGGCAATATTTACATTACAAGATGTCCTCCTTCCGGAAGTTTTCACCTTAATTTTGATGATGGCAAATTTTACTGTAACAAATAAACAAATTGCCCGATTCAATCCGGTGTTTTTCCAAAAATCCTTAAATGAAGTTCTAATTATTTTTGTAAAAAATGAATTATTTCGTCGATGTCTGCGCCGCGCCGCCCCGGCCGCGCCGTCTGCGTCTAGTATAAGATTCACTTTGCGCTATCGTTCGCGGCGAAATTGACCGGCCTGCGCCGGCCCGCCGTTTGCGTTGCGCCTAAGGGTACTTTTCCTTCAACTGCGGCCTTATTTTTCCACTCTGTATAGGTATATATATATTGCTTGATTTATCTAATGCTTCATGAGACAGTGTAAAGTTGACAACATGTGTGAATTAAGGAGGGCCTTTAATCGAATGCAGTTAAATTTCCAACTAATATCAGATTTGTACACACGGCCACAGATCAAGCTTCCCAAAACCAGTATAAACAGGACTCATGCGTTGTTTATTATCGTAGACGACTCGGCGCCCGGCGAGGCCCTAGCAAGTTCCGTTTATTGGTACTGGTTTTGGGTAACTTGATCTGAAACTGTGTGTACTTTTGCCACTTACTTATTATATTTTGTCATTTCAGACAAGAAAATACAACAACGCTGGCGAACAGCAAGGGACACTTACCAGAAAGACAAGATATCTGAAAAAAAATCAGCCATCCGGCTCTGGGAGTAAGAAGAAGAAGAAGAAATATTCTTACTATGACATTTTGACTTTCTTAGACAGTACAACGGAAACTGCTGGAGAAGAGTCACTCTGTGAAGAAATGTCTGAACAAAGTAATTTAGAAACACCTAATGAGTCCACGCAACCAGATACTTCACGTCAAGAAAGTTCTCACCCAACATCAAAACAAAAACAAGTAAAATCTAAAAAGCAAGCACCATCTGAATTTGAGGCACAGTTATTAGAATGCTTAAAGTCTAATCAACTGGAGCTAGAAAGTGAGGATTTGGCTTTCTTTCAGTCTCTGCAGCCTTCATTAAAAAGATTCACTAGATATCAAAAACTAATGTTCAGAACAAAAGTGTTAAATATAGTTATGGAAATGGAAAGTCAAACACAACCTGCATACTACAGTCCCATACCTACAACAAGTTCTAGTGCTTTTACTGAGCTTGACAGTTTGTCACCGATAAATCAAGATTACCAAACCAATAGTATAATCCAGGATACTTCGAGTCTTAACGACAATGCTATTAGTTCTGCTGCAGTGAATGACAATGAAACTCTTATTTCGACTGAAAGCGGCCTGTTTAATATCACGTCTTATGACGTAATTTATACCCCAGCAACAACATCATCTACAGGCGAAAGTAATGTCAACGCTCAGGATACAAATTTACAAAGAAATGAATGATGTAAAATTTGATTTTTTAATTTATGAATAAAACTCTTTTTATTAAAATGAGTACGATTAACTTTTTTTCTCCAGTTTCTCTCTAATTGTTTGTTTAGTCATATGAGTGCGGTTGTACACACGGCACAGATCAAGTTACTCAAATCCAGTATAAGCGGGACTCCGACGGGTTACCTAAGTATGATAATACGCAAGGCGCGAGTTCCATTTATGCTGGTTTTGGGTAACTTGATCTGTGGCCATGTGTACTTTATCAGATAAAAAAAAGGATTGTGTATGTAGGTTGAACGTACCAATCCCAAACCAATTAAGGGCTTTTTTTGACTTTAAATTACTGTCATGTGCAAACCTATAACTTTTATCTATATTATAATAAGTAGCGTGTGATGAAAGGTAGGAATGATTCCACTTTAATGGCGACATTTTATGAGTGAAATAATCTTATTTAATGAAATTTCAACATGAAATTGAATGAAATTATGAACAATGAAATTTCAGAGTACATGACAAAATTTTTTTTGCACATGTAAATTTACACATGACAGTAATTTGAAGTCAAAAAACGTTTATCCTACCTGTTCAAATCCCTTTCCACTAAATCATAGCAGGAAATTAAATATTTAAAATTTAAAACTTACCTTAATGTAATAGCGAGCCTCTCAATCGGTTGTATTGTAATCCTTCGTAAACTGCTTTTTTGTAGCTTATTCTCAATTTTACACAACAGTTCATCAAAAGAACGAATGGACATTCGAAAGTAATTTTTAAATTTACGTTCATTATTTTGTAGTTTTCCAAAGCGTGTAACAAACGCCCCAGCAAGAAGCCTATTTTCAAGAAAGGGATCAACATGTACTCTTGTCTTCTTGTTTCGTCGTTTGTAAAGTATGTAAGCGACACATATTCTTCTGACATTGATCATTTTTGAACACGTCTATACCGTTACGCAGCCCGTAGAAAACTGAAACTCATGCTGCGTATGATCCGCAGCGTGAAATTTTACGCATGCGGTCCAATCCCGCGTGCGTGAGCAAATCCGCGTGACACTAAAAGCGCCCTAATACAAGATACAAGAAGAACGTTGTTAAACTGTTCATGAAAATGAGTTCTGGTGATTATACAAATTATGTTGTTGGCCCGTATGCAGCCACTAAATCAGATGCTGATATTTTATAGGACGAATTTGAAGAACCGCTCAGACGAAATTTTAGAAATAGTACTGTCATGAAAGTAGAACGGAACTTTCGTAACAGTATTCCTTTATTACAGAGTTTGAATTATTCCGTTCACTATCCTTTAGCAGAACCCGATGGACGCAGTCTACTACAAAAAAAATGAAACCTTCAAGGAGGCACTGTGTCAATGAGTGATAGTAGTAGTTGATAGGCGTTTTAAGAGGCATTTCAAGCTGCTACGACAGAAATATTTTTAATAAAAGGGAAAAAATATATTTTCCCTTCTTTTAAGGTTGCAATAGGTTCCACCAGAGGGCTGAGGATGCAAGACAAATAATTTATACTATGAAAATATATATGTATAACTGTGAAAATTTCCACAAATTAATTGTGATCATTTTATTTTAATTTCATTGGGAGTGTACCAAGTTAAACAAGCGCGCTCTTACTGTGAACACACAGAATGGTTCTTATGTTATTCAGGCTGCACACCTGAGGGAGGTTGACTTAAGCTTAAAGAATGAACTATAATTAATTGTTTCTCCAAATATTTGGCTAGTTCTAGGTAAAATTCAAAGGAATTGTAATTAATATGGGAGGGTTATACCAGCCAAACTCAATCTCAAATGACGATGATAATGAATCTCTCAATGAGTCCTCATAAACTTTTACGACGGTGACATTTCAATAACAGAACAAGCCATATCCAACTGTACCTTACGTAACTGCGTTTCTACAGTAAGTAACAGTTTATTCATATTTAGGTTACATAACAAAACAGAGATGGTTTAAGTGTGGTAGGACCACGCAACAAACTTCTCTATTGCACGAATGGGCAGGTCCGTCCGGGTAAGTACCACGACTGTATCCGTTTTCCGACGATCACAAGGCGGCCCGCGTCAGATGGTGTAAGAAAACTCTGCAAAGGTTCAACCGAGGAGTCAAATCTACGTCTACGACATCATCTGTGGTGACGAATCTTGGATCTATGCCTACGAACCTGATTCCAAGAAACAATCTACAATCTGGGTCTTTCAAGACGAGCCAAAGCCGACTAAAGTTAATCGTTCTCGAAGCACTTCAAAGAAAATTGTGCCCACGTTCGTTGGGAAAACCGGTCATGTCGCGATTATTGCACTTGAATATCGTAGAAAGATTAACGCAGTGGTATACCACAGTGTGTTTACCACAAGTCATCGCGGAACTTCGAAAATCCAACGCAAATATCGAAAATCCAATCAAAGCGGCGCATCATCCTGGACCACGACAACGCAAGCTCACACAGCGCTCGTCAAATCAAACGATTGAGTATTTGAAGCAGGAAAAAGTAGAAATTCTTTACCATCCTACATACAGTCCTGACCTAAGCCCTAACGATTTCCTTACATTTCCTAAAATTTGGAAAAGTCTTCGTGGTCAAACGTTCCAGTCTGGTGAAGAAGCAGTCGACGCTTTCAAGTCAGCCATTTTGAACACCCCCACTTTAGAGTGGTATAAATGTTATAATAACTGGTTTGAGCGAATGGAAAGTGTATTAAGCTACGTAGTGAATACTTTGAAAAACCATAAAAGGTATAAAAACTGTAAGGTTCTAGTTGTTTTTTTTTTTTCCTTCAAACGACAAAACTCAAAAGGCATGCCTCGTAAGGATATTAAAGCTTGAGAAACGAAATGAGCCAGCAGCTATTCTTATGCCAAACGCAGTGTTAGCATATTCAGCTTTGTTCAGTTTTACGAAATTCTGACCCCTAGATTTAATTACTGGACACTTTGATCCACGTGACCAGATATAAAGGTTGTCTCAGTAAGAGTGCACATTTAAAATTGTAATATTTTTTTCTTTCATGCAAGTGGCAGCCTCACCGCTGTCACCTATGTTTATTCCGATTATTAAAAATGGAGCGCTTTTCGAAAGAACAACGCGTTATAGTTGTGAAAACTCATTACAAAAATGGGGAAAGTTACGCTGAAATCGCTCGCAAACTTCGCCAAATTTTCAGCCGAGAAGGTGCACCTAATGTGTCAACCATTCGAAGAATGGTCAAAAAATTTGGAGAAACTTATTAAATATTAAAAATTATGGATAATAAGAATCCTTTGCGTCAACGTACCGGTCGGTCTCTTGAAAACATTGCTGCTGTAAACGAGTGTCGGCGAAAACCCGAAAACATGAATTCGACATCGTTCTCAACAACTACAAATTTCACGAAGCACTACGCAGCGAATTTTGACTAAAAACCTCCACCCTCATGCGTACAAGATTCAGTTAACTCAGGAGCTCAAACCAGCAGACCAAGGAAAACGCCGGCAATTCGTTCCATGGGTAATGCAGCTAAGAGAACTGTATGCCAAATTTTCGAAAAAATTTTCGCTCCGGTGAAGCGCATTTCCATATGAATGGCTTCGTGAATACACAAAATTGTCGAATTTAGGACTCAGAAAATCCTCTTGCAATCTATAACAAATACACCCACAACGATAACTGTCTGGTGCGGATTTTGGTCAGGCGGCGTGATTGGACTTTGGAAATTGCAGTGACTGTGAACGGAATTCGTTACAGGAATATGATAACGGACTTCTTGCCTCAACTGGACGGCATGAATCTGGATAACATTTGGTTTCAGCAGGACGGCACAACCTGCCACCCCGCGCATGAAACAATTGTTTTATTGCAGCAACGATTTCCAGAACACATTATCTCACGAAATTATGATGTCAACTGGCCACCAAGATCGTGCGATTTAACGCCGTGCGATTTTTTTTCTTTTAGATTTTGTGAAATCTCAGGTTTATGCGAATAAACCCGAAATAATTCCTGAGTTCAAATCGGAAATCCAACGCGTCATCGGTGTGATACAGCCACATCTCTGTGTAAGTGCACCCTTACTGAGACACCCGCTATAAATATATCCGATCACTACGACATGGACGGATGAAACAGCTATGCCTGTGATATTTTATACAATATCATATTATTTTTCATTATATCTTATTTGGCTCTTTCGCACCTCCTTATTTCCTCTATTTATTTATCGTTTGACTGCAAGAGAACACCTAATGGTGTTACGTTCGCCATTGCACTGTATAGTGCTTAAAAGGTTTTAAATAAGTAAATAAATACGCAAGATACTCGCTAATCTTCCTATCCACGTCTATACTAAAAAGAATTTGTAAGCCCTCGGGTGTTGCAGATGTCCATGGGCGGCGGTGATCACTTACCATCAGGTGAGCCTCCTGCTCGTTTGCTGCTTTTTTCCCATAAAAAAAAATGCACCTAGTTGCTAAGCCAAGCCTTAATCGAAAATTCTTAATCCAGCTGTTCCAGCCATAGCAGGGTAAAATAATGTATATCCTTGTCTGATCTAACGGGAAAAATGCTTACCAGCTTCTAGACGTGTACTAACCACTTACTTAATACTTACGTCATAACTCTATCTCCAGTAACCAAATCTACGGATGGATAAAATATTGAAAACCGACATTGGACGGTATCCACTCAAAGATTGAATCTTTCTAATACCAAATAAGTGATCTGCGGCCACATTTAAGTAACAAGACCTTATCCTCCTCACATTAAACATCTCGGTAACAAAGCTCGAGCGAATTTCAATTCAGCTAAATACTTTCAATCAAGTCGTAATAAAAGGGGACTCATTTGATCTAGGGTCAACAATCAAAACGAGTTTGTGAATATAAATGTTAAAACCAGAATTCTTGTCGAAAGACCCCCAGTTAAGACTGTACTAATAAAAACTATCATAAAGAATAACTTCAAAAGCTCTGCGTTTAATATTGTCCTTGCCAAAACTGAACTTAAGGCAAAAAGAAATTATAAAACACTGTCACGAGGGCAAAATTAAATCATAGAGGCATTAATGTGTGCTATTTATCTCTTTCCGAAAAAATGTTACAGGCCAAAAAAAAGACAAAGTAACAAAATGTATTTTCACGGTCAAGGCAAATACGACCGTAATCCCGTTCATGAAAGGTTTAATATTTATTACGCCTCCGAGTAAGCGTCCAGAAATTGTTCACATGGACTTATTTACAGTAGACAAAGAAAAATACGTCATATTCGTCGACATATTTTCCCAAGTACGGACAAGCCTACTATCTACGACATAGTACATCCATCAGCGTTCTACAGGCTTTATTAAAATATTGTACATACCATGTTTTACCGTTAACAATTGGGACTGATAAGGGAACCGTATTCACCAACCACTTTCATAAAATACCCATTCGCCAAACGATAACGGAAATGTAGAACGCTTCCATTCAACTCTACTCGAACATCTCAGACTACTAAAACTCGAGCGTAAAGACGAACCAGCTGTAAACCATGTATACGCCATTATCGCTTACAATAGTTCGGTACACAGCTTCACGATATGCAGGCCTTTTTGATTCAATAACAGTTTACTTTGACTCCAAAGATCCAGTAGGTGTAGACCTTACTCAAAATTTACTTCAACAGAACACTCAAAATTAATAGAGATCAAACGAAATAAGTTCACGAAATTAGAAACCAATCTACTCTACACGATCGGAGTTTTAATAAAAAAAACAGCAACAA